CGTGACTCATCTGACCACAGAACAGTCTTCCATTTTGCCACACTCCATTTTAAATGACCCCTGGCCCAGTGCAAACGTCTGAGCTTGTGGAGCTTGCTTAGAAATGGCTTCCTCTTTGCACTGTAGAGTTTCAGCTGGCAACGGCGGATGGCACGGTGGATTGTGTTCGCTGACAATGCTTTCTGGAAGTATTCCTGAGCCCATTCTGTTATTTCCTTGACAGTGGCATTCCTGTTTGAGGTGCAGTGACGTTTAAGGTCCCGGAGATCACGAGCATCCAGTAGAGTTTTACGGCCTTGACCCTTACGCACAGCGATTGTTCCAGATTCTCTGAATCTTTTGATGATGTTATGCACGGTTGATGATGATAACTTAAAAGTCTTTGCTATTTTACGCTGGGTAACACCATTCTGGTATTGTTGCACTATCTTTCTGCGCAACAATGGTGGAATTGGTGATTCTCTTACCATCTTGGCTTCTGAGAGACACTGACACTCTGAGAAGCTCTTTTTATACCCAATCATGTTGTCAATTGACCTAATTAGTGTTAATTGGTCTTCCAGCTGTTCGTTATATGCTCAATTGCCTTTTTCCAGCCACTTATTGCTACTTGTCCCAACTTTTTTGGGATTTGTTGACACTGTGAAATTTTCAATCAACATATTTTTCCTTTAAAATGTTACATTTACTCAGATTAAACTTTTGATCTGTCATATGTTATATTACGAATAAAATATTGACATTTGCTATCTCCACATCATTGCATTCAGTTTTTATTCACAATTTGTTTAGTGTCCCAACTTTTTTGGAATCCGGTTTTGTAGATTTGTTCTCAAAATGACCATGAGCAGAGCTGCCAATCAATAAGTTATGACAGATGGGGTGTGTTTGTGGATCAAGACAAACCTGATCAGTATATTGAATCTACACTAATGGAACCGTTAGAGCTGCACACAGAGACATACTCGGCAATGACGGACGCCAGGCAGCCGTAGACGGACGGCGTGTACATGTTCCCGTTCTGATTGGAGATGAGCAAGGACGGCTTGGTCTTCCTCTCAAACAGCTCCGCGCTGGCCTTCATGAAGGCCTTCTCCACGTCCCTGTCGAAATACGTCTCTTCTGGTTTGACATCTCTGCCAACAAGAACACAAAAAGCAGTAGTTTAATTTAAAAAAATTTTTTTTTCATCTAACAGAAAACAGAATAAGTTTTTAATACGTTTGTTAGAAAAAAAAAGTTTCTGACTGGACACCGTTCGACCTTTTTATGTGGATAATGAATATTAACATTTACTGACAGTTCAACACAGAAGGAGACAAAGTGCCTTCACTATAAATGTTATAAAACTGGAAAAGATGTGATAATAAACATAAGATAATAAACAAGCGTCTGACCACAGTTATGGAAACAATTACTGAAACCTCAGGTGATGTTTAGTGTCTCAACTTTTCCAAAACTGTGATGATTAAAATAATAAAGCTGCTAACTTTTCACTGGTTGTCTTGGACACATTTGTAGTTTGTTAACAAACAGGAAGTGACTAGAAGCACGTGGGCAGATTAACGGTTGTTGTTTGGAAGGAAAAAGAAAGTGACCAGGTGAGAGTCAATGAGCTCAACGAGTCTGAAAATGCATTTCAAATGTTTTCCAGGAAGCCTTCGCAGGCCTTTTCCCAGATAAAAAGGAGCTTTAAGGCAGAAGTTTCGGCTCAAAAAGTGGCCTCAGTGAATAAGTATTACATTTTATATCACTCCAAACTTTTAGAGGATTTGAGGAAGCAGACAATGAAAGTTTTATTTCTGCCTTCACGACTATATCATGGTCTCAACAGCTCATTCAGCAGCTCAGTTTAAAATAGCACCTCAAGAATGATTGTTTAAGCTTGTGGTCATTTGAACTGAGTCATTCAGACCGTTTTGATCATCCAAGGAGAAAAACTGCAGAATGAATAAGAACTGAATTCTGGACAAGAAAATATTTACATGGAGAACAAATTCTGATTATTTCTTAGATATTTTCCAGGGCACCTCAAACCCATAAAATGTGTGACAATATTGTGTTCAGTCATCTGAAACACTTCAAACACCCTGGACTGTAAGTAAACCGCTGTCCACGACAGCCCCGACCAAAGGATGACCGTCAGGGAGGAGCAACACTTAAGCACACCTAATGTGTCTAATCTACTCTGAACTGTAGACACCAGAAAATTTCAAAATAGCCAGGATAGAAACAATCTTAGATCTTAACCAAAAGAAAAAACAAAACATGTTTCAAGTTCTGGCTGCTACTGGTCAGAAAATGAAAATTACAGCCACAATATTGTCCGTCTGTCTTCCCTCCTCAGTACTCAGTTGGTTCGGATCAGGTTTGATCTACAGTACAGACACCCACTGATCCAGATTATGTTCCTTATCCCCATCAGGTAACTGGAACACAATAAGTAATTTGATTAGTCTAATGCATATTACCAGGATTAACCCGGTTGAATAGCTACTAATAGCTGTGCAGGTAGTCAGAATCAGGAGTCTGTTACACATTTAAGATCTTCATTTTTCTCCCCGCTGTCAGTGTTAATTAGTTATTAATTAGTTATTACTTCATTACCTATGAAAGCTCCAACATAAATACACCAAACTGTTACTTGGTGGAAGACCTGCATGTCCAGCTGTTGCTGCTTCATGTACCTGAAGGCGTCCAGGCCTGCGAAGTGCCCCGTCTCCGTGTCGGGGCTGGGGTGGTTCAGGAAGTCGTTCAGCATCAGTCGAGCAAACGACTTCTGTACCAGCTTGCAGTAAGGAGAGTGGAAGACTAAAAACCCAAAGTCCTCCAGGCTGAAGCGCTTATCTGAACCCTCTGCCAGAAAAACAGAAACAATAGGTTTTATTTATTTACTAAAATACTGTGAGGTCACAAGACGTGGTGCTACAACAAGACTCTCTCGACTGACCCCATGAGAGCATCAACATCTTGTCCTGACTTTAGTCTGCATGCAAATTCCATCAAAACACATCTACACCAGGCAGACAGATGATTTGCTGTGTACGCGCTGCAATGATTAAACTATAAAACCCTGCAAGAATTACAAATGGGTGGTTTAGAGCAGGGGTTTCCAAACTTTGCCATGCCATGTCCCCCCAAACTGTCCGAGGCCCCTCTCGCAAACCCACAAACAATGCTACAAAATATGTAAAGAAACATCAACTTTTAGAATGGTTTAACTTTTATTCACTATATTCAATTAATTATTACAGATGCTGAGAATAAAACAATTATTAACTAACATGTTTTAAACACTGAATTACATTCCAACTGAAAAAAACAACTTTTCAACAAACTGTTGACCAGAAGAACAAAACTAAAGAAATCAAACCTCTCTCTCAAGTGTGTTTATCTGTAAATGACCAATACAGATTGCCCTAGTGTGCAATTTTTATTATTATTATTACTATTTTTTTAATCTTCTTCTCTCCAGCTTTCTGGGGCACTTTGAAAAACACTGGGCATTTTAAGAGATCTCCATAAAAATTAAAATAAGAACTAGTTTCAGATTGGCCACTAGGTGGCAGCAGATACTATGATGCGCAGAGAAGCAACAACAGAAACAAAAAGAACAAGTCAAACCACAAGAAGAGTCATTCTGATCTATCATTAAGCAGCATTTTTGATAAAATGATCACAACTGTAATAAGAGTTTGTCTGGTTTGTTGTAAATAATTAATTTCCTCAGAAAAACTCAAAACTCATTTAACAGACTAGGAAAAGAAATTCATAGAAACAACTTGTTTTAAAACAAATTTAACCATTTCTATTAGAGATTCACAAAGTCTATTTTTATTAAATCTGTAATCAACCAAATAAAAAGCATCGTGCACGGCAGCTCTTCTGTCGTGGTGTGATTAAACCTCAAGGTCTCTACAGTGTTTAAAAAGAGATCCATTATTGGACACGTTTCTTGAGATTACTTAACCGTCCTCTACTCTGTGATGTTCTGATGATAAAACTCATGTCAGCACATCATTTTTTTGCTCACTCTCACCACTGTCACATGTACACACACACACACACACACACACACACACGTTTGTCGATGAAACAGTGACCCGTGACTGTAAGTGCCACGTTGGAAGCTGAACATACAAATAGTTATTTTCTAAAGTTTAAACTGATTGTACAGACAAGATCAATTATAGATTTGACCTCCTGACCACTAAAATAGAAATACACTGGAATGACCAGTGATAAGGAGGGGTGCACCGATTGCAGTTCTCTGGCCGAGCACCGATTTCTAAAAAGTCTGACCTGTCTATTCAGATTTTGGCCGATATCGATTTTGTTTTATAAGCGACACTGTCAGGTGTTATAAGTCACGATGCACCTTCAATTTTCCAATATTTTATTTTTTAAAAACATTACCCTTGAACAATATCCTAGAAACAAAACAAACTTGTTTTAACTGGCCATGAGGTAGTGCTCTGACATATAAAGGAAGTTCAGACAATTGTTGTTAAAACTAAAAAAAAATCTGTAAAATTGGTTTCTCGTGCATCGGCCGATTTCCCAAAATTAAGAAACTCGGGGCCGATTTATCGGTGCACCCCTAGTGATAAGAGTAGACAAGAATCATGGCTGCCATCTTGCTAGGTGCTACCTATCATTGTGTATTGTTTGCATGTTGAAACCTCACACCTACTCTACTGTATGCTCAGTGTCATCAGTCCAAAAATGCATCGAAATAGTCACATATTGTAAAAACTGGGGGGTTGTTTTATTTTTTGATAATGAGCCTCTCAACAATCATGGTCAAGCTTTGATGGAGGCAAAAACACCTAGCTGGTAGACTACCACTTACGTGTTAAAATTATGAAGTACTTTAATTATTCCGACAAAACCAGAACACAACAGCACATTAAACATGGCTTTTCACCACACCACCATAGACAGCACTGTGGTTGGCCACACCAGTGTATTTCTACTTTAGTGCTCCTGGCATAATGGTATTTGTGCAAAGAATAAAGCATCAAGTCTACATGGAAGATGTTAATCGGGTTTTTACACACCTCTTTGCCACTGTGCGTGGACTTTGTTGCGATACACGGAGTAGCAGCGGTCCAAGGCACTGAGGTAGCATTCGATGGACAGCTTGCCGTCCACCACGGGGTATTCAGACACCATGTCTGGCTTATAGAAGTCATACGCGTGCTGCATGTGGGTTCCCCGCAGACCTGCAAGTTTTAATCAACTTTTAAGACACTTTCCACACAGATCCACTGCACCTTCTCAGGATGTCAACACTAAAAGTACTACTGTTAATTAATCGAACAATTAAAACACTTTATTTTATAACTATATATAGCGTTCGGGACCTAACTCTTAACAACCAACCACAGAAAGACAAAACGAAGGACTAAAAAGATTTTAGCTCAACAGTGAAGCACAAAATCAAACTGAGCACTGATTAGTTAAGATAATCACAGCTTCAGGACTCTGGAACAAGCATCATATCTAATAATCAGTGTTTGTCAGCTGACCTCGTTCAAACGCCAAAGAAGCATTAGGCCCGACCAGCATGGCCACTGCTCCAGCACCCCCCGTAGGTCGCGCACTTCCTGTGGCGTAGACGGCAATGTCTCCTGCAACCACCAAAGCGTAACGTCCTGCAGAGAGCAAGCATTTAATTAATTAATGAGTGTAACACTATATTAGTTTTCTATCATGTCTGCTCTAATGCTACAATATGGAAGACAGTAGAGGTCCATGGTGCAGGAAGAACCAAATCTTTCACCGTTTGACTAGAATAATACACTTAGAACAGCTTCTAAACAATATTTTAACAGAATGACATAAAAAGCATAAAGAGCAAGACATTTACACGCTTTTAAGAATTACCTGCAAGAATAACTCCACTGAGTCGGACTTAGAAACATTTATGAATCTAGTTTAATGTGTTTGTTAAAGAATGTTTCTGTAGGCAGCTGAGATCTAAACAACTTTGTTGGTTTAACTTTTAAAAAGGTGCTCGTAAAATATGTGAAACAACAGAGAAGATGAAAGGCCAACGTATTTAGTAGTGGCGTTTGTAGTGTGGGTGTAAAAACGCAATAAATCCTTCATTTTCAAAGTTTTTTTGTGAGTGATTTCTTTCCCATCTCAAAAGTTGAAGTTAAAATAAATATTTGAAAAGCATTAGCAATCATTTATAAAACGGTTATGAAACGCTTTTAACATATTGATTCCCAGAGCTCCATCTCTTTCCTGTAACAATAGCCGAACTAACTTTTCATTCTTCCAACTTCGATCTACCTTTCTTGTAGAAAAAAATGCATCTGCCAACATAAAACTGCATTCATGTACTTATTTGAGATTTGTAACAGGTTACAATTGAAGAAAAAATAAAAAACACTTTTTATATTAGAAACACTAGTCTGATTGACCTTTAAAGCACAATTTTAAAGTCAGACCGACTTTGCTCGATTCCTGGACACAAAGATAAATGTGTCATTATCTTCTGATATTGTACAAACTAAACAATTTATTCGTTTCTGTAAAACAACGAAAAGTGATATTTTAGCTTTCCTCACCATCCCATGAGCTGGACTCCACCCAGTTCACAGCATTGAAGAGAGCAGCTGTGCCACCGTAGCAGGCGTTGGTTGTGTCAATGCCTTCCACATCTGTGTTGCCAGAGTCCTCAAACAACTGCATGAGGGCGGTCTTGACCGACTTGGACTTGTCGATGATGGTCTCGGTGCCCACCTCCAGCCGGCCGATGCTGTCGTAGGACAGGCTGTTCCTCTCCATCAGCCTCTGGACGACGGTCAAGCACAGAGAGTTGATGTCCTCTCGGTCGGAGCAGAAACCCATGCGAGCTTGCCCCAGGCCTATGGTGTATTTCCCTGCTGGTACGCCATCAAACTGTTCCAGCTCGGCTTGGTCCACGCACTGGGACGGGAAGTACAACTCCATGGCAATGATGCCCACATCTTTGGGCCACGGTCCCAAGCAACTGATTGGGGCTGAGCCAGGCATCCTGAACATGATGAGAAAGAAGTTTTAGGTTCAGCCAAGTGTTAGAATACAGCATTTTGTCAACAAGCAGTTGACTGGGATGTGCCCACCAACTCCTAATGAGTTAATGGGGATGGACACTATATAGAGGTGAAAGTAACTCAGCAGGTCAAAGTACATCCTCTTAAGCCCCACTAAACCAACCCAGCTTCTGTGTTACTGGGCAGGTAGGAAACACTTGTAAAATGATATCATTAGGGGGTTAAATAAAATGTAATTAACACCGTGTTATTGCTTTATTACGTGTTTTGCGTCAAGTTAACGTAGGCTAGCAAAACCAGGTTACCGACATGGCTAGGTAGCATGTTAGCCACGTTTCCTGAACACTTTTCCCAACAGCTAAGATAATAATAAGTCACTGGCTTTACGTTACGTCAATGATAAACACAGCGACATTAAACGTTTAACAAGTGGCTGCCCAGAAAACGAGCCGCTCATTAATTATGAGCAACAGAGCAAAACAAACGCAACGCTAATGAACATTAGTTCCGTTTAAATCACACACACCAGCTGGACACATTTTTTCTGTTGTTATTGCACATACCTAGTATGACACAAGTCTGGATTTTTTTCTGGGAACGGTGGGGGGGGGGGGTGAACTAGGTGAAAGGGCAGCAGGACTAGTCGTCCCGGAACATAGCAGCAGATGATGATGGGCTACTAAAGGTCAGACTAACAGATCAGTCAAAAATTACAACTCGACTGAAGAAATCAAAGTAAGCACAAATAGAGAAATGTGACACATTGACCAAATATGTACTCAAAGCGAACAAACCTGTAAAATAATTTAGGTGCGTTTTCAAGTTCAAACAAGTTGCTGCCCGGAACAATTTAGCTGACGGACCCAGTTCCTCTTTGAACTATCACAATCTTTTGGCAAACTTGTCTTAATAAGAATAAAAAAATCCTCTGTCATAACCATGCTAATCACTAATAATACTCCGTTATATTAAAGAAAAACACAATTACTGAATGTTCAAATATTAGCTATTTAAACAGAACCATATTTCGAATCGACAAAGCTTCTCACCTGAGTGCGACGTCAATTCTTGTGAAATTAAATGTTCCTACGGAGCTCTGATGAGTTTAATGCTCAGCACCGCTCGCCGGGGCAGAGCTGGATTTATATTAGGAATGACACGGCAGACCTTCCGCCTTACACCTAGCGTCATATCCAATCACAGCTCGCACAGACCATGCGGCGCAACGAACTGTACCGGCTTCTGACCAATGAGAGATCAGGAATCAAAGCCGAGCGCCGCAGCCGTGACAGCTGTCCAATCAGGAGACGTGTACGATGTCTGGCGAGAGAGAGCGGACCAATCAGGTTGCAGATTACATTAATGGCGCCGTTAGTGGGCAGAACGTAATTTATGGGAGTACTATTGTGAGTGTATCTTTTTTTGAAGTACCGGTACAGTTATTTTTTTTTCTTTTTGGGCCGATTTCACTACTATTATACCCAATAAATATGAATAAATTACCATAATTTTAAAAAATGTATTTATTCTATTATACAAAACTGTGGAATGACCACATGTCAGGCTCCTTCTCTCACTGTTTTGAAGTCTCGCTTAAAATTATTCCCTGGCTGACAGTGTGTGATTTGTTCTTAACCTACCTCTATTCTACAGTGTTAGCCATTTAGTTATTATCTTCTTCCATTCGGATCTATGTATTTATTTTTATTTTTTTTATTTTTTTGTGCGCTTTGCTTGTTTTTTTTTTTGTTTTTTTTCCTGCTGTACAGCACTTTGGTTGGCTTGCTGTTTTAAGTGCTCTTTAAATAAAGTGTTATGGTATAATTAATTAAAAAATGAATAGCATTAATTAACTTTTGTTTATATGTGTGGTTGTTTTAGTTTCCATCATTCACAAACGTAAGTTTGAACAAAACATAAAAAGAAAAAAAGTGAATAATGTGAGAGGAAGAGAACAGAATAACACTATAAATATTTTGTATCAGGAATAATACGCCTATTGAATGTTTTGTTGAGTATGTACCTGTCTGTCTGTTAGCTAAATATCTTGTGAACCACTGGAGAGATTTTAATGAAACTCACAAAGTAGTGAATAAATGTACTAATTACATTTGGAGACAAACCGATTTAAGATTATTGCCAGTTATTTGACAATGGCTATTTTATTAACTATTTGCAATTTTTGGCATGAACAGCTTTGCATTTCTTCAAGAAATGCATGCTCTTTAATTTTACCATGTGTTTGCACAAACCGAGTTGTTAAAAAGGCAAAAATGACCATATGTTTTATGTTTAAACATGTCATATTACAAAAGAAAAGTGGAAAAACTTCTGTCTTATGATTCTAAGTTTTGTATTTAAAATAGTCACATTACATTCATTCAATAAGATTTAAAAATGATCAAATACAGAATGTGGCTAAGGAGAACTTCACCTCCAAATGTGGTTTTTATGGTTGTGTTTCAGGGTCAGTCACAGTGGTTACTTAGACTTTAGCAACAAAATATTTTTCTTTAAGTACTTCAAAACCAAAGAAATGTTAAAGTCCCAAACGTTGACCAGTTTAAATATAATCAATAAAAGATGCCAACTTTTTAGTGGACAAAGTGCTTCCATATCAGACAGACATGAGGCCAGTTTGTTCAAAAAACATTGTTCCTTATACTGTAACAAGAAAACAGATGTGTCATTGCATATTAGTTTGTGACTCAAAACTGTAACAACCTACAGCCGGCTGCATTGCTTTATCTATGATGGCACCGTTTAATAACCACAAGTCCAAATAAGCATGCAGAAGGTCTGTGCTTCAAATGTCAGCCTGCTTCTTTCTGGGAAAAACTACCAGAAAATCAAAATCACAACTAGAGAAGTACGTACGAGTGCTGAATGATTGCTGAAACTTGCTGAAAGTTTCTGAACTTGCTTGCTGCAGCTGAAACTAAATTATTAAGCTGTACAAAAAACAAAACATTAGCTACAAGCCAAAGATACCAAACTACTAATACTGTAGTGGCAAAAGTAAAAGCTAAAATTAGAAAAACACTTGCTAAAAAACCTAAAAATGAACTAAAAGGCCAAGTAGCAAAAGGCAAGCTAAGCTAAAATAAGAACAGTAGCTAAAATTAAGAATGGTAACTAGCTAAGCATAGCAGAATGATAACCAATAGTTTAAAGAAGCAAGTCTAATTAAAAGGGACAAAGAATAGGATTTAATCAAATGATGTGCTGAAGCAGAGTTAAAAGACAACTGGGTTTTTGAAGGAATTGTGACCATTTCCTCTTAATTTCAACCATCCACAAACCTTGAAACTTAAAACTGCTTTCCATTTGTCCCATAAATCAGACATTGCAGCTAAAGATGACGTCCCATTCAAGTTGACCTTTAAATGTGAAACTATAATTTAAAAGTCTAAAAAAGTTAAATCTGGTCCTCTGGACATTCAAAAAAACCCAAAACAAAGCAAAACAACAAAAAATGTAGAAACGTTTCGTCTCTCATCCGAGAGACTTCTTCAGTCTGAGGTGCTGTATTCAGCTCAGTCTCTTAAATAGCACCTTCTCAGAGTGGATCAACCAGTTTGCTGCTGACAACCAAAACCAGCTCACGAGAGAGACGAAACGTTTCTACATTTTTTGTTGTTTTGCTTTGTTTTGGGTTTTTTTGAATGTCCAGAGGACCAGATTTAACTTTTTTAGATTTTTCTACCTGGATTATTGAGCATGCATCAGGATATAATTTAAAAGGTTGTTGACATTTTTGTGCCCACTCACCTGGTGAGCTATCACAGCGCAAGTTGGAAACAACATTTTACAAACATGTACGACAAGATTTTTTTTTTTCATTTAGCCTTTATTTATCCAGGTTAGTCTCATTGAGCCACGCGAACTCATTTTCAAGAGAGACCTGTTTAGGGAGCACATGGTGGGGTTAAGGGCCTTGCTCATAGGCCCAGAGTGGGGCGAATGAGGGTGGGGGCAAGTGTGGGTGTTTCACCTACCCCACCCACAATTTTTGATGTTGTCGGGGCCGGGGCGTGAACCGGCGATCTTCGGATCACAAGCCCACCTCTCTAACCTCTGCGCCACCACTCCCCCAAGATAATATAATATAAGATAAGACAAGTCTTTACTATCCCAAAGGAATTTTAAAAGTTGCCAGCAAGGAATATAGGTCAGAATTAGGACAATAAATAGTGTACAGGTGAGTGTTTAGGTGGGCAGTACACAAACCACATAGTACCTTCATCAAAACTGATCAGTACAATGATCCAAAGCACAATACTAAATTAATTCATGCCAGAGAGCTAAAGTAAATTCTTAAACTGAGAAGAGTTGGAGTTGTAGCCATTTTGGTCAAACCTTGTAAAGAACGTTACACCTGATCTTTTACAATACTCTGAAATGCTTGGAGTATATGATAACAGAGTTGACTCAAACAGTTAATAGCTAAATTAAAATTAAAAAAAGATTTTGCTCAACAAGTTAGAGCTCTGAGTATAAGTTGGGGATGCGCCTTAGCTACTACCACACCAAATTTCAGCTCAATACCAGTAAGTTCGGCTGATTTAGAGCCATTTTTGTGTTTTATTAAGGTTGCTTAGCTGTATCTGTGATGAGTTGGGCAATTCTGCTCCCAAATCTGCTTTCAGGCTTAATCCAGGATGAAATCAGTTAAAGTGAGACTATCATGATGGTGACAATCTGAACAGCAGAATTGTAACAGAGGCAGCCGTGCCAGGAATTTAATCAGGTAATTATCTTATAATGAGATAAGATGCATCAGCATTGTACAGCTACAATCACTCAATGGACTCTCGCTGTAAACAATCAGAGCTAGTTGGTGAAAACTGATTGTTACTGGGTCAACCTCCTAGTTTTAATGTCATCCTGCATCCCGAGTCTGACCTGAAGTCATTCATGCTGATAAAACAAAAACAAAGACAATATAGTTGTGTTTTCCAGGGGCAGAAATAGACATTTCAATGTTGTCCAGCAGAAAACCTGGTGACAGAATCTGGGTGTCCTCAACCTTTAAAATAAAGAAGGCAAAAGTGGAACATCCTCGTTCTCCTCATCCTCTTCATCAGACTTTGAAAGAGGCACCCACAGCATATTTAAGGCAGGAATTAAAGCAGAAATAAATTGTTTGACTGAAAATGTTCAACCTATTTTTGTTATCTTGGACAAACAGAAACCACATGCAGTATGTCAATCCATTTTCACTGCTGAGGTTGGAGCCCGACTGACATGCAGGGGCAGTTTGATCCAGTTTACAAGCTACAATTGAAAAGGCCTGGTCCCCTCTGTGGTCCATCTTGAACCATGGAAAAACCAAAAACAAATGTTTATTGGATCTCAGAGATTTGGGTACAAAAAGCTGCAGGCCCAACAGATACACAGGATCCTGCGCCCTAAAGGTCAACAGTAAAACTTCAAAATCAATTCTGAAACAAACAAGGAGCCAATGAAGGGAGGCCAGCTCAGAAGAGAAACGTTCAGTTTGTTTGTGTTAAAGGTCGAGCTGCAGCGTTCTGGACCAGCTGAAGTTGTGAGGCTGGCCTAGCCTACAGTGAGCTACAATAATCCAGTTGGGATGTGATAAAAATGTGGAGTTAAAAACTTCAGTTTATTAAAAAATGTCTATTTCTGAATTAGTCTGTTCCTCAAAAGTTGCTTTTCTTTTTAGTGTAAATGCTCTTTGTAGTATAACTTGCTGTATTTGTATATTACTATGGTCTTTCTATGTTTCAACATGATAAATCACCAAACCCGACACCAGGGCAGAACGTGGTTTTTGGACCTGCAGCTGAGAACTGATTGGATGGTCGTTCTATGTTCAAAGCACAGTATCCACTTCTTCAGCACTTTAACAACATTTAGAGAGAATTGTGACAGTAACTTAATAAGTTTTGACAAAGATTTTCTAAAGTTAGTGACTTACCCAGATGGTTTTATCACTGATGGACGATGGTTCTTGATGCAGTGGATCAGAGGTCATGACTGTCCAACACTTAGCCTGGACCCTTCCCCTTTAACGTGATACAATTCCTCCACACTGCTGGACTGAGCAGGAGAGGTCGATGTGGAGCTGCTGCCGTTAAAATAGCAAGAAAATCTGCAGTTTCCACACATGTCCTGTATGATCTCATAATCAAGAAGATAAACCTGATAACCCTCATACCAACAGTCCTCATTTTATCATTACGTCACAAAACAGCTTACACAACCTCACACTTCTGATAGGTGATGTG